AGCGCCCCGTTCGAACGCGCCGCACGTACGGCAGGCCCCGTACGAACGCGCCGTACGCTTAAGGCGGGCAGTACGTACGGCGGCGTCCCTATCTTCGGGTGTGGCCATGCGGAGAAGCCACCGCGTCGCCACGTGGCAGCCGCCACCCCTGTCTCTTATACACATCTAGATGTGTATAAGGGGAAGCGGGAAAGACATACTGAAGGGCCAGAGAGCAGAGACAGGGCTGGTGGCAGGAAGAGGAGCTATGGCCAAAGGTCAAGACCCAGGAGCAGGCAGACAGTAAAATCGGAGGAGCAAAGAAGATAGGCAGAGGGAGAGAGAGAGACGCACAGGGCCGTGGGCAAGTCAGGGCACCTGGAGTTCACTTCAGGAACCAGGGTAGTGTCGGGGTAAGGGTCGTGAGCGGGAAAACAAACATGACGCGCCATGGGGCGGGACATCTCAACAGGAGGTCGGGGCTGGGGTAACCATAAGTGGGGTCAGGGAGATTTGTTGAGCCATCTTCGAAGTCACCAGAAATCCAGGAGATATGCGGGATCGATCTGGAAGTTCATCGTTGTTGTCGTATCTGTATCATGTACTTTGCCGTTGTCGGGAGTGAAAAAATGTATCCCTGGAGCCTTGGCGATTCACTGGTCTTCCATCCACGAATTCTTCATGTAAAATTCTAACCCACCCTTTCCAGCAATTAAGATTCTTATCAGAAAACTCCTCAGTAGCTTTGAGAAAAATATTCCCCGGGAACCCTTTCAATCCCAGCTCCCTCCTTAACGAGACGAGGAATAGACCCACTCCTCTATTATCCGAGGACTGGGTCAAGACCCTACTCAGGCATTTGATAAAACCCATCTTCTGGCTTTTTGGCCCATAGGACCAAAAATCTTGCATGGAGAGGAACACTATTCCTTTTTCAGTCCATATCGTATCTTGATTCTTGGTAGTCCCTTCACACCTTACAGACGGCGGGGAAGAGATGCACGCCATCTTGCAGCCCAAGAATTCCCATAAGCCATTCTGTTCATCCGTACGGATCAAGGTCAGATTACTATCGTAGAGGGAAAGAAACCATTGATAAATATCACTGGCTTTCTGAAAAGATCCTATCTTCCTGTTAGGGAGGATAATAAGAAGAGCAACATCATCGACTAACCTCAGACCTTGGATTAAACACAGATCCTTACCTAAAGAATTTAAGAAGGAGAATTCGTAATATGTGCAGAGAAGACAGGCTAGAGCTGGGCTAGAAGTCTTTCCCATAGGAATGCCAATCCTTTGTCTAATGATAAACCCTGAGACTTTAGAGTAGGAATGATTCAGGTCATATTCGACAAAAGTCATAATTATTGAGGATTTAACCCAACACCATCCTTGTTCCCCAACCCCCTTCCCCAACATGGTCCCTTTACCTAACTTGTTGACTCGGATGGCACGATGCCCATTTTCCAGAAAAAAATCACATAGCCATTCAATTGTGCGAAGAATAAGTTCATGGGGTAACTTGGTGAACATCTCTTTTATGTCAAAGCTGGCGGACATCATCAGTCCTTCGGGCAGTTTACTAGCTTTCTGGTTTAACAAGTCGATCCTTTCAAGCTTGAAATGACTGGATTCCGGTACTCTCCACAGAAGCCCATTGATAGCCTTGGAAATAATCCTGCAGGCCTGGATACTTGGTTCAGAGAAAGAGGGAGCTATGGGCACCTAGTAACATCTTTCTGTTTTGGTATCTTATATGTCGAACCCAAAGTCCCTCGACTGTTCCATGGATCGAGTTTGTGTGCCTGGATAGAGTAGTAACAAATCCTACATTCCTGCAGAATATCTAGTTCATCTCTCATATCAAGTTCGAACCCCTCATTTACCCAAATAGAGGCCTGAGAGAGCCTGCTCATAAATCGTGGGACAGCATACTAAAGAGTCCCCCATATTGTGGTCAATAGGAGACACAACCGAACCCCCCAACTTTCTCTTCCATAAAATTGCAATATCTTCGTAGAAAAAACGTGAGTTTTTCCATCATAACACGAAAGAATTTTACTTGAACTATAAGAAAAAAAACTTTTGTAAGGAATGTGAGCTAATCCTTCGGAAATAGCCCTTTTTATCCTTCCAACAGACTGTTCTTTCGTTGGACACAGGATATTCTTCGAGTTCCTTAAAGGAGGGGGTATTTTTGAAAACTCAGAAAACTGGAACAGGATGTGATCACCCTTGTCCCTAGGGAACGATCTACAAAGATCATCACATAAGCACTCATTGCAAACTTGTCTGGCCATGATCCTATGATTGTGAAGCACATCACCTATGGACCGGTTGCTGGTCCAAACAATCCTAAGCCTGGAAATAAGGAAATCAGAGAGACAACTGTTTTCACATCATCGTCGAATAATGGATTTAACCAGGTCCTTAAGAGCCGATTTTCGAATACGGTCGTTAAATATGACCTTAACAACTGTAGGGGCTAAACATCGAAAACCACATACATATGTTAATGCCTTACCAATCACACCCTTGAGAATAGTACGAGATTTTTCTCGGTGGAACATCTCAATCGAGTTATATAGCTTGATCAAGTTTTGAAGGCTGTAGTGGTAAAGCCCAGACCTTGTATTAAGAACCTGCAGTAGGGAAGGTAACAGATCATGTCTAAACCCAGACATGTTTTTCCTCTTTCTCAATAGTATGATGTGAAAGACGCCCCCTTTAAAAAAAACTAACTTTAATCATTTTAAAAGAAATTTTCGTTTATCAAATTGAACAATAGATAAGCCAAACATTCTTTGAATTTTAGTGCATGAATCAGCAAAAAAACTCCCACTAGAACTGTGTAGATTAACATGCAAGACATCATCATCCACCAATTTTCCCAGTATCTTAGTCACAGAGAAATAAAAAAGGTTAGCATCCTATACAACCGGAATAGGTAAGGAAATCGCAGTGGTATTCCAGAGGACAGGCTTATCATCCTGCCTCCTGACTCTCGACTCAAACCCATTGCGGCGATGAAATGCCAGACGCTCCCCCCTCCTTTTTCGCCGGCAGGTTCTCTTCTTTTTGACACAGTTAAGTGGCGGGGACCATCTGGATATCAAGGCAGCTTCAACTTAGCAACATAACTAACCATCCTTCCCGTTGGAACCACCACCTAACCTTATGACTCCTGCCATCGTTACACTGGAAAGACCGCCTCACGTGTTCAACCCATCGCACATTGATAGACCTAGTGGTAGATTCGATATAAGTAGCCTTAAACCATAGTGAAATCAGTACGTAAACACAGGGACCTTCCCATGCACACAGGTCAAGCCCTTAACTTAAAGAATCACCACAACTACTCACAAATTTGTCAGCCCACTTCAACTGACAACAACAGGCTAACATCAAAACAAAGAAACGCATCAGCATATCGTTTCTCCTTGCATTCGGGCCTTGCCACCCTTCCTCACCTCGCAGATTACGTAAGGACATCAATTGACTCCAGTCTCCAGGTGGAAGGCAAATCAGGGGATCATCAGGAGGGATTCTCCTCTTGAGATTCCTCCTCGGACTAAACATCATCATCATCTTCTTCGCCGTAAGCATCAATGGCACGCAAACGGGCAAGCGCAGCTGAAGTGATCTTCTTGTTTACGTACTCAATGTGGTCCTTCTTACGCATCTCTTCAAGCTCATGCTTCGTCTTCACCAGTAGCTGTTCAATCAGATCCTCGACGTACTTCGTTCACCCTTCTTTGCGAGGAGCTGCTACTGTAACAACAACTTTCTTGCCTCAGTTGATCCTATCAAATCCCAGCTCATGCGACTCTCCCACATCACACGTGGGCAGTGAGGAACGTCTCCCACCTTCATTAAGTGTGATCCCGGTGGAGCGTCTTCTTGGTCCATTCCAAGCTACAAAGGCGAACATACCGGCAAGTCGTGCCGATAACTTGTTCCCAGTTGCTGTGTTAATCTCCGTACGTCGTACGGACCCTCCGTCGTACGACCGTACGAACGGCCGTACGGACGATCGTACGGCCGTCCGAACGCGGGTCGTACGAGGTGTCGGACGGGCACCCCCATCGGGCATTCCGCGGTTCTGAAGGTGCCAGGGCGTGACGGGAGGGGGCGGGAGGGGGTCTGCGAAAAAAAAACAAAAAAAAATGATTGCAATTTCGGCCAGGAAAAAAAAGAAGAAGAAAAAAATCAAAACAACACAAAAAAAAAGAAAAAAAGAAAAAAAAACCGAAAACGAGCGAGAAACTCGTTTTCGGCTAGGTCGTCGGGCGGGACGGCCAACGACTCAAAAAGGGCGGGCGGGCGGCTACACGGCACTGCGCTGATATATATATATACATATATATATATATATATATATACACTGAGAGAGAGA